GAGCCCAGGGATTGACAAAATATCAAGTTAGGTAAAGTTTTTAGAGCACAACTAAATATCTCATGAGCATCTAACAGTCTGAAAAATCTCACAAAGTTTAAGAAGGGAAGGATAAAGTAGATTCTAGGAAAGCCTATATTGGCTTGCCCTACTTTAAATAAACACCAATTACAAAAGTTCACATTTTTAAAAAAGTATAGGCTTTTAGGAGACATTGACAAAAGGATTCTTTGTTTTTCAAAAGAAATCACCAAAGGAGTCCCTTACATAGGAAGCTTCTCTTCTAAAATATGGAATTTTATCCAAAACAGTAATTTTTCAAGCAACTTTGAAGGAAAACATCCATTGTACAAAGTAGAGCACATATACTGAATTTGGAAGGAATTACTATTTCTAAACTGAAAATCAAATTTGTCTTTGGATTCATGAACTAAAGAACTCTTGATCATTTTCATTAAAGCATATATATTATTTCACTGAAATATCTGGGAAATTCATGTGTCATAAAAGTAGAAGCCAGCTGTGGGTCTTCTATAAATGTCGCACTTTAAATGGAAAAGCACTGGGCCCATAGGCAGGAGACCTGAGATTGAGGCTGGGCCCTACCACTGTGTGACCTTATTTAAGTTATTTAACCTTTCTGGGCCTCAGTTCCTCATCTGTAAAATGAGAAGTTGGTTCCTTTCAGCTCTATTATTCCATGATTACAGATAAATATAGACATAAGATAAATACAACAATCTAGAAATAAGAAATATTCCCCAAAGTAAGTTTTGGAGTCAGTAGAAAAAAGTAGCAATGAAATATATAATAAAAAGAATAAAATTTTAACTACTAGCCAGAGTAAATATATCTTATTTAAAAATTAATGAAAAGATTTGCAATTTACAATTGATCAGGAGAGATAAGAACATACATATTGATATTTCTTCACCATCATACATACGGAGGAGGAAATGAGTTTGGGGTGACTTGTAATATGAGCACGATGCTTTGTTTGCATGCATAACATTTTATAAAATTGGACATTAAAAAAGCTCAACATCACATAAGGAATAAATTTCTATAAAGCTTGGCACTAAAGAGAGGTTGAGGGGTTAACTGGTTGTTTCAGTTCATATTTTGTTTGAGGATTTGTTGATATAAAATTCCACTATTTAGGCAAAATCTTAAAATCAAATATACTTCTGCCAGAGCCCTTCTAGAGAACAACCAGCATGGTGAAGACAGGTATTTAAGCATTGTCAATACCAAACAAATATAACATCTTTTCCTTTTTCCTATTTGTGAATTTAAAAAATTTAAGTAAAAAACAGGCCAGATACGCTGGCTAAGTTAAAGTATTTTTGCAGGTTGAGCAAGTAGTTGATTTGATCTGATAATTTCTTAACACTAAGCAACATATACCTGACCAACATGACAAAGTATATCACTTAGCCAGAGACTGATCACTCTGATGATAGCAGAAATGATGGGGAGGTTGGAATCATTTGGAGAGTTGTGGCTATAGTGATTCAGGGGCTTGAAGAAGTAACATCACTGGAATAGATGCGCGCGCGCGGCGAAAAAAACACGCGCACACACACACACACACACACACACACACATTTCCGAGGGGCGGCGTGGGGGCCGGGGCACCCCCTTTTAAACCCCGCTGTTTAAATTTGGGGTTTTTCCGAAAAAAATAAAACCCCACCAGCAAAAAAATTTTTTTTTTTAGGCATGTCTTTTTTTCCCAAAAAAATAGGAAAGGCTCCCAAAGGGGGGGGTCAAAAAAATTTAACAGGGAGTTGGTGGCGTATATAGTTTACGGGGGCTCAAGAAAGAAAACACCCCCGGGAAAAGGAGGCGCGCGGCGCGCGCACACACACACACACACACACACACACACACACATCCCAGGGCTGCTGCTGGTCCTGGGATCACGCTTTGATAGCCACTGGTTTAAATTTGGGGCTTTACTGAACAAAGTATATACCTATTTCACACAAACCATTACTTATGCAAGTTCTTTTTTCCTAAACATATGGAAAGCATCTCAAATGGGTGTCTATAACAATTTACTACTGTATTCCTCTATAAATCTGTTTCCAAGTATTCTAAAACTATTTCTTTAATGTCATTGTTTAAGTAATTATATTTTTTGCTGCCCTTTGACAAAAGCAGCTCTTTGTACCACTTTTCCCCTCTTTTGCCCTTTTAAATCCTTAATCACTTATAGCTGAAATACACACAAAGGCTTTGGAGGGACTGGGTGCTGTGGTATAGATCTGGTCTCATTCTCACACCAAGCTGAAGTGATAGCACAAAACAGATGGCAGGAAGCAGAGGCTTGTGATCAATAAAGTTGTACCTCTAATAAGTTTAATAATCACCACCAATACTGGACAACTGATATTGATCAGACAATAGTGGACAGTTTCACCTTTCACAAACAGGACACACCTTCACAAACTATTTAAATTCCTTTGTTGTTTTTACTCAAATGATAAATAGTATTAATTCCATTTGTGAGAAAATGTTAATGTACAATATGAATTATCTAGGCCTTTTCAGTGGCGTTTGGTAGCATTTCTGAGAGTCTCTTGGTAGGAGCCATATTGAACAGCACTAGGTATCAGGAAGATTGAATCGATTACCAGTAATTTACTAAAATAATTCCAGAAGATTACGGTATTTTCTATATTCTGGAGTTAGCGGTCAAGTAATTTGGCCTTTTGATGGTGAAAAAAACCCACACCACTTCTGCAACTAATTGATGCCTAAAATTCTACAGTAGAATTTCATTCCTTTGGCATAAGGCTTTTCCCCTGTTAAACTGCAAACAACCTTCAAAAGAGGTAGCATTAAGCCTTATAACCCCAAAGTAAAGAAATGTATTCCTTTCCTGAGAGCATGCTTTTCTTAACTAGGAAGAGAGCAAACTAGGAGGCACTCAGAAGAGTTGGTGCTGGGAAGCAAGGTCTGGGGAGAATGGAACAGAAAAAGCGAGGATTCCAAGGACAGACCTCCAACTCATTCACTCTTTTGCTGATGGGTTATCCTGTCAGCATTCCTTACTAAAGTGGGCACTGACTTGCCACTTGGAGAAAATTACTTAGAAAGCAACCATGTTTCCTGATAATAATGAAGATTCTTTTATGTATAAGCATACGAATATTTATAGCAGTGAAAAACAGATAGCAATAAAAACATCTGATACAACAACTTGTAGCGAGTTACCCCCCAAATCAGAAGAACCATGCTTGTTCATTGGGAGAAGATAAAGTGATAATACTTTATGGAGTGCAAATCGCAGGGCCAGGACGAGGGTAAGGCACTTGCACAGCCCTGAGAGTGGGCACCTCCTTAAATTTTGCGCCCCAGGCGCCTCAGTCACCTCACTCTAGTCCTGGCCCTGGCAAATCATATTAAAGTGAAAGTTCACCACTGTGTTACAGACCTGGTGATAATGAAAGGCTGCAATGGTGAGGAAAAGAGCACTGACCATGAACTCGTCTTTTTAGGGAATAGTTCATTTATGAGGAAGAGGGCAGGTGCTTGGCCAGATCTGCTCAGACTGATGATACAGTGAGATAGCAACCCAATCCATGTTGTCTAGACTCTAGAGAGTTAGAATGGATGTCTGGTAAAATGCTTGTAGAATCTCATCTGTCTTTGCAGATTCAATGTAATGTCTCCAGATCAACTGGTCAATTTGTGGTCATTAAGCTAACATGAATCAATTTGCTGTCTTGCTCTTTTTTTTTAAGGGCAAGCTGTCAGCTAGGGAAGCGATTTACAGGGGTTACAGCTAAGGGACAAGTTGAGGCCAGGTGGAAGTCCCAGGAGAGAGACTGAAGCAGACAAAGTTGAAGAGATACCAGTGAAGTTTCCTGTTATGTTGAGAATGACTTGCTCTCTATCCTCAACATTCATACCACAAATAACTGCAAAGCACTCTTAGCTACCAACTAACCTCTCCTGGAGATGACTTCCTGCTCTCTTGATGGGACTGAAGTCAGTCTAGCAGAACCACTTGCTGCTATAAGTTGGAATCAGAGGAAACAAAGGGGCAGAAACAACTTAAATTGTTAGTTGACCTCCTGGGGCCAACTTCATTTCACTTGCACCTCTTCTGTATTCCGCCTTCAAAAATTGTTATTTTTCACACTAGTAATAGTGGCAGTAGTAGGTTCTCTGAAAGCCTTTCTGGAGGGGCTTTCAGCCTCTCTTCTCCCGTTTCAGCAGAGTAGGTGCAGAAGGCAGCAAATACTGTGGTTTGTGCCTAGGTGGGAGAGACAGTTGCTGTTACGATAATCAAGGGGGAGAAGAGAGGTTGAGTGTTAGGAGTAGAAAGATATTCAGTGTTCTGTTCATTGATGACTGGTAGAAATAGTACAGTTTGTTGTTGTTTTTTTGGAACTAGGTCCACCTGTTGTAAAACATTAAGTAAATATTTCCAGTCCTCAATGTTACCTCTGACCATAAAATCTTTGCCCCAAATGCTTTTGTGTTAATGGGAACACCACTGAGCATCTGAGTGCCAGAGTGATGATGTAGAAGATGTTCTAAAACATCCAGGCATATAGATTATTGTAGAGGAAAGTAAGACTCAGTGTAATTGGAAAATATAAAGGTATCAGGGCATTTAGCTTAAAATCTTTTGGGGAATCCACTAGAGATAGCAAGGTGAGGGGAGAGGCAAAACCCACTAGAAGTAGCAAACAAGATGCTTCCAGAAAAATTAGCAGAAGTAACAAGTCCTAAACAATGTGAGTCTCATACTTGGCTTTAGAGTTCAGTTATTCATAATGGTTCTTAAGAAGGCCCTGGCTGTTCTTTACCTTTGTTAGGCAAAAGCACAAACTCTCCTTCATTTCCTTACAGAGCAAAATGTTTGCATCTTTTGGAATTCTGAGACTGGGACAGACAAGTGTGGCAATCATATATAAATTAAGGCTAGTAATGAATCTATTTTATTTTAGGTAAAACCCCTGAAATTTAGTCAGGTCCTTCTGTTATGTTGAGAATGACTTGCTCTCTATCATCAACATCCATACTACAAACCAAATAGTTTGAATTCTTTACAAAGCAGCTGGGATTTTGTTGTTTATTATATTAAGTGGCTTTGGTATAAATCAGGGGAAAGTGCTGATTTCAAGGGAGTGGGTGGGTCTGGCCTGTACTCAGAAGTCTAGAATTCAGAACTGTACCAACCAAGTGCCTAGGCCCAGGGCTTCTGTGTGAGAGGCTTAAGTCTTTTCAGCACACAGTGTGGTTTTTCAGCTGCTCTGTTCTCTGGAGTGTGGGCAGTTGTGCTAAGAGTTTGCTTCTTATTGGTGAGCAACACGATCTATCAAAATCAAGATCTGCTTGTCTCTGGGGCAGTTTCTGCATCCTCTAGGAGGTTGACCAATGAATCTGTTGGGGGTGGGGCGTGAAGAAGTAAAGGGTAAGGGAACCCTCTTTGTGAGACAGACTACTATTTCATTTGACTTCTTTTCCCCTCCTTGGACAGTGGACAGTTACCTCTCCATTATTGCTCAACCAGTTTTCTTTGTTCAATCTTGGTCTGTTTTTCCCCCAACCTCCCAGAAACCAGACATATGAAAATCAAATGAATCACTGCTCTGGTTTTGCTTAGAAAATTGAGCTGACAAGAAGAGTTAGTGCATATTAGCTTGGGTGGGGGGGGGGGTCAGGAGGAGTCACAATGATTGTTCTGGGGCTCCATCAGCATCCTATTTACCCAGCTCTTACCCTCTCTCCCCACATGGTTAACTAATTAGGCCTTTTTTGTATTATGGGCCAAAGCAACTTGCAAGGCTGCCTTTTAGATTCTGGATATATCCTTTTAGTTTATACATTCTCAGTTCTGGACCATAGTAAGACTTCCTTTAAACAAAACCAACCAACCACAAACCACAATCTGAATTGAACGGTGGTGGGCAAGTTACACTTACTTTCTCTACTCCTTGAGCCTTTGGTGATGCCATTAGTTCAGCTAATTACTTACTGTAGTGAATGTTATATGCCAATGAAATGAGAGTTCTTTGAATGCAGCATAAGCTGGGCACAGATTTTAGCTATCATTGTTTAGCTTCAGACCCATAGAAGGTTCTGAAAGCATGCGTGCAAGTTACCTCAGATAGATCAGGGTGGACAAATGGCTGCCTTGTTTGTTGGCTGAGCTTGGTTCATTCAAAGTAACCAGGTTCTGACCTCTTCTAGCTAAGGGGTGTGTGTGGGGGAAGGGTCTGTATGTTATCGAAACTCATCACCCTGATCACCGTGTAGACAATCAAACTAAAAAAGGCATGAAGTTCAGGGCCAAGTAACATTCATATTTTGCACAAAAGCCATCCAATCAACTCATGCCAAAATAAGTGCACACCTGCAAACCCAGTGGGAGAGAGTTAAACTATGATTGAAGAGGCATCAGAGTCTTTCTGTTTCTCCACACAAGTCATTAAGGCCTCACCAAGGAAGTGAATAATCAGCAACGGCTCCCTATTTCCCCAGGTTTGATAGCCTCCAATCTGCTCTTACACTGTTCTCCTTAGTAATAGGAGCCAGGGATGGAGCAGCTGGTCATTCATTGAAAACATGCATGTGTGCCCTTGCATCTGAGAATTTCTTCTTGGTGCACACCACGGGCAGAAAATAAGAAGAAAATCTGTAGTCAATAATGGCAAGATTTTAAGTATGAAAACATAAAATGTCTGCATATGATTAAAGTGCCTGATGATTTCTAGATAAAGTGGTCTCTCTCCTGCTGTCCGGAGTGTGAGTTTAAGTAAAAGAAATGTAGGCTTTTTTGTTATTTCCATGGTTTCTTTTTAGAACCCTTCCTCTTCCCCTTTTTATACTCAAGTTTAGTAACTGATCCCTACTTGCTCAACCCAGGGCTTAGGTACTGGGACTATCGGTGGTGTCATAGTCTTTTGAAAACTGTGCAATAATTCTCCGAGCAAGTGGATTAGTGGTCTTCAGCAGTTCCGCTGCTGAGGGGCGGGACCTTGGAGTTGCCTTACTGCCCTTCTTTTGTAGCAAGGCCTTGAAATCATCGTTTCTGCCAGCATCTAGGCTGATACTGCCGCTTGACCCTGCAGAGGCAGCTGACTCACTAATTGGAGAATCAGCTGTGTTCCTTATTGGTGAGTGGGAGCTTGGTCTGCTGCCTCCGGCAAAGGCCTCACCGGGCTCCTTCCAGCCAAGCAGCTTTCTTTTGGACCTAAATAAGAGAAGGTTTGCTTTGAGTGAATTCGTGTGGTGGACATTTCCTAATGCTTCATATAACTTCATGAATGCCAGTGACATGATCTGGGAACTTCTACGCAGCAGCCTTGCAAGCAATCATACTCACCAGCTTTCTCTCTCACCATTGAGTCCTTGGGCTCCCTTGTCTGGACCCATCTCCCTTCACTTTCTTTTTCTTTTTTTAAAATATATTTTTATTGATTTCAGAGAGGAAGGGAGATGGAGAGAGAGAGAGAAACATCAATGATGAGAGAGAATCATTGATCGGCTATCTCCCACACACCCTTTACTACTGGGGATTGAGCCTGCAACTGGGGCATGTGCCTGACTGGGAATCGAACCGTGACCTCCTGGTTCATAGGCTGACACTTAACCACTGAGTCATGCCAGCTGGGCAACCCTTCACTCTTCCCAATGCCTGCAGCTGGAGTCATTGGCCTGTGCCTGCAGGCTCAGTCCTGCCCAGGTTCTGGGACCCAAGAAGAATTTAAGGAGTCAAGGCTAGAAGCTCAGGGACTCTGAATCAAGGCAGCCTGGGAGCTGATCCTGCTCTGAACTGGCGCTCTAGCTCCAACAACTGGGCCCTTTCCAGTTTCCTCCCCACCAAGCCCCTGCTTTGTGTCCCGGTCCAATAACTGGGTCCCCATCCGGTCTCCCTTTGCCTAAGTTCTTGCTCTGATACTTGGCCTGATGCCCCACTTCACTTCTTGATCAGATTTTTTGGTACAAGGAATTCTATGAAGGGTTAAATGTCTGATTGCAGACAAAGCTGTAAGAGAGCAGAGAGAGCTACAATAGGTCCTTCGGTTGCTAGGAGATGAGGGTCCTCTCTCTTGGCACCTGGTCCTCCCCTCCCCAACCCTCCTCCACTTCATCCAAAGATGTCAGTGAATTGGCAACATGAGGCCCTGGACTGCTTTCACATATGTGGGTATCTGGAGTTAAGTCTCTAGTTTCAATTCTAATGGCTGCTTAGAGGTAGCAGTTTGTCTTTTGGTATACAAAGTGAAGGTGATTACAATAGGAATTAAGGAAATTGGTCCAGACCTGTGTATCACAGTAAATAAATCTTCAGTTGTACGTGAAGCCACAAACACATCATCATCTTCTTCTGCAATCCATTCAGCTGTTTTATCACTGATAACACTTTTTTCTTCAGTACTTGGTTCCATAATACTCCCTAGGTATAAGAACCAGAAGGAATTATTTTGACCACAATAGTGAGGATCAAGCACATTATCATCTGTATTTCATTTGATGTTCAAAGCAACTCTGTCCACCCATTTACTAATGGGCACAGGACAGAGACTCTTAATGTCTCCATTTTGCAAAGAACATGATGTTCAGAAGGTTAGTGATTTGGCCAAGGTGGACTCAGTGCTAAAGGTCAAGCCTAGGTCTTTATTCTCTCATGGCTCTTCCGTTACAATAGGTTGATTGAGCATTTTCTTATTTTAAATGTGTCATTTTTAAAGATCAAGGAACTGAGAGCAATTAAGCAATGACTCAATCAATGGTGGGAGTGGGACCTGTCTGAATCTCAGAGGGAGCCTTTGGAGTTTAAGGACGAATATTCTAAAATTACCTTTGGCTTTGATTTGTTTGCATGTTTTAGTCACAATGACTTATTTTATGTTGAAAGTCCAAATCAGCTTAAAGAAAGCCAAAAGATTTTGGTGTTAAGAGTTCAAAAAAGAGTGAGAAACATGGATGAATTTGGAGGACCTTATGCTAGGTTAAATAAACCAGTCACAGAAGGGCAAATGCTTCATGATTCCACTTATATGAGGTCCCTAGAGTAGTCAAATTCAGAGACTGAAAGAAGAATAGTGGTTGCCAGGGGCTGGAGGGATAGGGTGATGGAGAGTTACTGTTTAATGGTTGTAAACTTCAGTTTTGCAAGATGAAAAGAGTTCTGGAGCTGGATGGTGGTGATGGTTGCTCAACATTGTCAATATAATTAACACTACTGAACTGTACACTTAAAAATGGTTAAGGTGGTAAATTTTGTTATGTGTATTTTGCCACAATGAAAACAAAAAGAGACAGTAAAAACCCCCTAAAAAGATGAGAAATATTATCTAGCCTAGTCTTCTTGTTCCAGAAAGAGCTAACCATCTAAGAAAGTGAGCTCCATTTCCTCTCAAAAGCACTAAGAAAGTCTGCTGGTGGTAACATATATTGCATTGCTTCAGAAGCCTGCAAACCCACCATGGCACTTGACCTCAGCCTGGGAGAATATGAGTCCCATGCCAGAAACTAAATTCAGTGTGGCTAGTGAAAAGTATTGTACAGTGAGGTAGAGAGTTTCTAGAGCAGGGGATGCATGCCTGATTAGGTAAATGGGCTCCTAAGGTCCTAGGTTGCTAAGGCCTAGTTTAATTACATTACCTCAGCACTGGGGGTTCCAGAGTAGGTTGCCTCAAACTGAGCTTTGGAGATCTACCCCTGGGTCAGTCCTGATACCAAGAGCAGTGAGACCTATTTAGAGTAACCCAAACCCTCAAGAGGTGCCCTACTAACTTGGTCATCCCAGGGTCAGGATCATGGGGCACTGGCTTCTGTCTCTAGCACTACATTCTCACCATCATCTCTCCTGGGATTGAAAGGAAAAGCCATCAGATAGTTTACTAACCTGGAGGGCTTGCCTCCCTTCCATCATCAGCCTGTGGGGTGGTAGTCGTCCTTGTTGTACCAGGTGATTGCAGGTGGTCGCCAGTTGGGGGACACTTGGCATCTTCTTCCAGGGTGATGATGGGGCTGACAGGCAGCCTTGGTTCAGCCACATAGGCCTCCATTTGAGCTGTGGGTGAAGTGAGAGGCAGGTATAACACGCTGGGCTTTTTTGGTACAGGAGGTGGAATCTTGCTTTTCTTCTTCTCAGCTTGTTCCTGGCTCTGGAGGCTAATTCTTTCAGGCAGGGCTCTCACCTTAGAGCCCTCATCCTCTGTACTTCCCTGGGGAGGTTGCTGGTTTTCTGAGCAGAAAGCACCAGAGGAACTGGCAAAAGGTGTAAAAACAAGAGCTGAGGGTGCTGTTGACTCCCCTCGGCTTCTGGCCTCAGGGAAGCTGGAGGACTTTGGTTTCCTCACCACCGTGTAGATGTCTGGAGGGAATGGCCTCATGTATTGAATTGAGCTCTTAGGGGTCATAGCCAATGTCGGCGAAGTTAGTGGGTACTCCTCGGGGACAGATTGTGGTTTGTGGACCAAGCTTGGAGGCCTTCGAGCCAGTGGGGGTTTCTCAGCTATGGGAGGTTTCATCTTTCTCTCTAGCAAGGTGAAGACTTCTCCCGACTCCTCAGCATAGTCAGGGCTCTCAATGTCATCTTCTGGCTCAGACTTGCTTACTGACCTGAGGCGGACAGAACGTAGATCAGACTGAGTAACCATGGGCATGATTGGCTGGTTGGGGCTAGTTTTCTGGACCAACTTGGCCCCAAAATTGGTATCTGAGTGATGCCGGCTCACCTTGGTTTTGCTTCGTATGGAGATACTCATCCCAGACAGATCCAGGTAGGTAGAAGAGGTCAATGGTAGGTCAAACGATAATCGTGACTTTGAAATTTTCTCCATTGGTGATGTTGGGGGCAGTGATGACTTCCTCTCGGGTACCACTGGACGTACCCGGACACTGCCACTTGGAGGAGGCAAGTGGCCCAGGGTCAAGGACATGGAGACAGTGGGTGTTGGTGTCTCCGACTGGCTGGAGTATCCACTGGAGGGTGACATCAGCCCAGTGGGCCTTCCTGGAGAGGGTACCTCCCTAGCCTCTACCTCAATGGAGAGTTGGGAAGGCGTAGTAGCTCTGGAGATGGAAGGGGAGGCAAGAGACTCTGAGCTGCCCTGAACTTGGGTACACTCAATGACTGTGGTGCCAGTGGCAGTGCTGGAGCTGGACAAGGACTGGTAGGTGTCACCAGACTTCCAGTCAGTAAGATACCAGTGGTGGGAGAATTGTGTATCTTCTGGGTCTTTGAAGGTGGGCACAGCTGGGTGACCCTGGGATGAATGATGTCCTTGGTGTTCCAAGGAGAGGCAAAGGCTCCTGGGCCTCTGGTCCTTGGATAGTGCTGACCCACCTTCTGGCAAGAGGACTGGTTCATCTTTGACCAGTGAGACACTGCGCATTGGTGGGGAAGGCTTCTTTTTGGCCTTCTTGAGTGAGATACTCCTGGATCTCTGCCTTCTGTGGTGGGCATCTTGCTGGGAACTAATGGAGGCAATGTTGTCAGCACTGTTACTGCCCTCAGAACTTGTACTGGCATAAGGCAGGGCACAGGCTTCATTGGACTTCTGCTCCTCATCGTAGTTCACATCTGTGGTGCCTGAATCTGTAGGTACAGACAGTGACCGCTCCCGGAACCTGCTGGCCCCACCTGGGCCTGTATCCAGCCTTGAGGTGCCACCAGTCAGAAGGCCAATCTTGAAGGGTCGCTCTGATACTTGCCTTTGTTGTGTAGGGTGTTCAGAGTAGCCAGCTGATCCACTGCATCCTGCTGGGTTATCACGAGTGACAAAGAGTGCAGCAGCCTCCTTAGGAACCAGAGGTGGCAGTGTGTGCAGAGAGACCCATGAATTCCCAGAAGAAGGATTTTTTCCATTTTCATTGACTTGATTGCTCTGACTGGTGGCACTTGGAGTCATATAGGTGAAAGCATCTCCTTTCCACAAAGCAGAGAATGTAGATTCTGTTGGTCCATTGCAAGAACTGGAGACGCTATACACCATTCCCATGCTTTCCATGCCAGGAGGCTTGGTGCCACCACGCACCTGGAGAGGTTCGTCGGGATCACTAGAAGGCTTTCTCAGTACTGGTGAGGTGAGATTTGGGAAATGAGCTTCTTCACCAACGGCAACTCTTCCATGAACACCTTCTGGAACAGAATGACTGGGCTTGATGTCTGAGCTGGTAGAGCAAGCCAACCTGCCTGTGGGGCTGTTGCTGAGACCTGGAGGAGGGAAACACAGAACATTAGTGGTGCTGCCAGGGATCCCCCAGCAGCACCAAATTTTTGCCAAGAAGCATTTGCCAACAACTTGAACAGAATTCTTGGTTCTTCCTTTCCATCGATAAGAATGCGGGGGAAGTTGGGTCCTTGCCCATCATGACATGGTGAGTCACAGGGTGGCCTTGAATTATCCAGATGGCTGCCAAAGACTTTCCAGCTTTGATTATTCCTTTTGGAGATGAAGTGGCAGGTGGGACTACCTTGGGTTTTCACCCCAGGCTCACGAAGCCATCACAGACCTCAGAGTTCACCTCTCCTGAGATGAAAGCAGAAGTTTTTGAACTACATAAAGGACAGCACTGTGTGACTTTCAGCCCGGATTTGGAGTAAGCCACAGTTGGAAAGCCCAGAGTCTGGTTGCATTTTTGGCACCTGACTCTTTTTAGCTTTGCAACATGAGATACTTAAGATAACCTACAGATGTGAGGCAACCATTCAGATGTTCAGAATCCCCAAAGATTTCTCATACACACAATTATTACTGTTCTATCATTATTATTATTGCGCCTTCTACTGCTATGATAATTTATAATAACAGTCACCCTTTGTTGACACATACTATGTACCAGGCACATGGTAGGCAAATTACAGTGGGGCCTTGACTTATGAGTGTCCCGACTAACGAGTTTTTTGAGATACCAGCTGTCTCTCTGCCGATTTTTTGCATTGAGTTGACAGAGTAATTTGAGTTAACGAGCCCCTTAACGAGCTCCTTAAGCTCGGTCTCTGAACGAATTAAACTCGTAAGTCAAGGCCCCACTGTACATACAATGACTCTAATCCTCATGGCAACTCCACTAGGTGGCATCATTATCCCCAATTTATAGATGAAGAAGCTGAGGCTCAGAGAGGTTATATAACCTGGCCAAGGCCTGTGCTCTTTGGACAGCATTAATTTAACAGCATAATGGTTCTGCTAAGATGGTTCTTTAGTGATGCTTCCCCCCTTTACCTACTTGCCTAAACAACATATATGGTTATATTCCAATTATAATGAGAAGCAATGAATTTATAGCCTGGGAGACCTGTTCTTCATATCTGGTTGCTCCCCTTGACCAAAGGCCCTTGGCTATCTTTAATCACCACATTGGCTTTTTTCAGGATATCCAAAGCCCCATCCCCAAATTATTCTTGTTCCCCATAACTGCAATACCACCCGGGTGGCAGGACTGGTGGGAGAGAGCAAGGGGAAGGGCCCAGGGATTCAGCTGTGGTGAGGTCACCTTGGTCTTGCTGTGAAAAGTTAGAGAATCCAATAATGGTCCGCCTCCGCCTCAGGGTGGACTTGGGGTTCACGGCTGTCTCTGTGTTAAACAAGGAGTGTCGCAAACTTGCATGTTTATCGAACTGCTGCCCTGTAGCCAAAATAAAGACACTTGGGTGCATCTTGGTTTCTGTTTACAGTACAGTGGAAATGGGCCTGAGGTAGAGAGAAGGGATGATGGCAGTAGCGATGAGCATGAATAGCATCCAGGCAGGTGGCCCTTCTTTCATATCCCTCCCAACATGGCCCCAGACACCCAAAACCCCAAGGCACACATAGGCCGCACCCAGGGTCACCTGTGAGTCTTAGGTAGCTGAGAGCCATGGTTTTCAATCCTGACCACATATCGAAATAAACTGAGCAGTTTTTGAAATTCCAATACCTGAACCCCACCCCAGAATATTGAAGTCTTTGGGAAGAGGGCCCAGGTAGAAGCTATTTCTCAAACTCCCCAGGTAGTTGATTATTCAGATGTACAGCCTGGTGTGGGAACCACTGATTTAGAGAGACAGGTTGAGATTAGACGTTGCTTGATTATAATCTTTCCTTAAAGAAAGCCTTTAGCCTGGCTGGTGTGGTTCAGTGGTTGAGTGTTAGCTCATGAACAAGGAGGTCATGTTTTGATTCCTGGTCAGGGCATATGCCTGGGTTGCAGGCTCAATCCCCAGTGTGGGGCATGCAGGAGGCAGCAGATTGATGTTTCTCTCTCATGGATGTTTCTATCTCTCTCTCCCTCTCCCTTCCTCTTTCTAAAATCAATAAAAATATATTTAAAAAAGAAGCCTTAATGTGGGCCAGAGGACAGTGTCTCTCAGAAGCTGCCTTGCCGCCCCCCCTTCATCTAGGAAGCAGCCTGATAGTCTGTCCTCCAGCCACCTTTGATTACATTTTGTCAAAGTTCACCCCTGGGCAGTGACTGAGATCTATTTCTCTTAAAGCACCGGGTCAGTCTTTGTTCCTGTGGAACTGCTGAGACAGGGGCAGTGTGAGACAGGGGGTGAGTATGTTGCTCCACTCACTGTCTCTCATTCAACAGCTGGCTAACCAAATCCTCCCCTCTCAGCCTCACAGCTGCATATGACACCCCCCTCCCACAAGTGACTCAGGGCCAGCCTTATTGAGAGTAAGATATGTTTAGAAATAAAGTGCCCACCATCACTTTGTGAATCTCTCCTCTCCACCCTCACTCCTCTTAGTACATCTCCCTAGGTTGTGGGCTCTATTTTCTGCCTCTAATTTCCTGAGATGACACCAATGGTGCTGGATGGCCCCATATACAGAGAGCATCACCACATGTGGCCAGAGGTGTCCTTATCATCTTCATCAACTTTTCCCAGCATACCACAAGCCAATGCTGGATCACAGGATGCCTCTGGTCCCTTTGGGTCATGAAGTCTTGATTTCATTGGGTTGCTGGCCCTATCTCCTTCTGAAATGACCAAGCCTCCTCCTCTTCCACTTACAGCCAATGGAATGTGGAGCACGAATTAATAAGGTGTGTGGTACAAGTGTCACATGTTCCCAAAGCCACGTCCAACTAAGCTACATACATTATTTTCTCCACTTTTGAGATAGTACTGGCCCCCTTTTGGCTTTTTGGGCCTTGGTCCCTTTCTGTTACTTCCCTTCCTAAACACTTACCACGTGCGAGTTGAGGAGACCCATCTCACTAGAAGACGAGTGTCCACTTAAAATGCCATCAGGCCCATGGTCTGCGTCCTGGGTATGAGCCTCCCTTTTATCATCAGCACTCTGAACCCCACACTTTCCCTCAGACTCCTATCCAAACATGGCTTCTGGCAAAGAAGTTTCCTTTCCCCAACCCAAACATAACTCACAAACTTTAAATATCCATGGACGCTCCAAAGAGCACACAAGTTCATAAAGTTTCAGAGTTTTCTTTAAGAACATTTTGTTTGCTATCAGATGGTCTCAGTTAGTGTGGAAGTGCTAGTAGAGTGAAGAAAGAGCAGCCATAGCCCCATCTTCTGCATGCCTCCATTCCCTGGCAAGAGCCATGACCTTGACAGTACAGGGTGAGCCAGTAGCAGAGAAAGTCTTGCTCCCTCCCCCAGCATCTAGTGCATTTGGAGAGGATGGTCTGTAGTTCGCATGGAGGGAAGCAAACAGAGGTGGTGCTAAGCAACTCTACCAGAGATGTTGATGGGCACAATGTCAGAGTGCGTGGAGCAAGGCTGAAGCCACCGCTTCTCCTCTAGGATGGGCAGAGGGAAGGGGGTATTCCAGGCAACTTGCTTGTCGGCTGTGGTAGACAGGCTCAGGGAGGCCTCAGGGGCCCTCACACCCTGGGTGGTAGTCTCATCCTCGCTCAGCTGCTGTTTTGTAGGCTGTTGGGAAAGAAGGTGATGGGAAGGGTGTACTCCTGACTAGAGATGAGCCATGCCCACAAGGTGGCTGTCTAGGCAGGCTAGTTGGAGGCTTCATCTGGGAGGCAGGAGAACATGGACAGGCTGCCAGGCCAGACACCTACTGTGCAAGACCCATCTGGGCTGGACCTCAGGGTAGCTCTGCTGGTGAGCAGAGGTGAGCAGCGGTATCCAGTGGATAATGTAAGCAGCTCAAGATCCCCTGTCGATGGGTGCAGGGCGAGCTCTGCACTGGCTTTCCCAGGCAGGGGAAGATGCAACTCACCATCAATACAAACTCCAGACGCCTGGCAGACTGGGGCCTTGGGCTGGGAGTGGGCTCAGGGGCCTCATCAGCAGAGCGGAAGGTCTGCCCCAGCAGTCTGGCCTCCGAGTACTGCTCCTCATATTCTTCTGAAAAACAGCACAGTGGATACAAACTCTAGGGGGCCATGGTCAAGTGCTGGGCAGGGGAGGGACCATGAGCCAGGGCTCCTGCTCTAGCTGCCAGGCCTGACTTGCACTATTTCTTTAGGATATTTCCTGTCCTCTGAGCCTCTGGATTCAGAAATGGAAAAATGCCTACTTCCTGGGACTATGAGAGCCGAAGAGAAAAGAGAATCAAGAAATTTGAGTTGTGGTGGTTCTGGGACTAAGCCCGTGTGTCTGTGGTCCACACCTTAAGTGCTCAACTTGGAGTAGAGGCTCAGGGTGCAGACACCTTTTGCTACTTTATGCTGCAAGGCCCTCTCTTTAAAGCCCTCCAGTTCTTCAGGTTTTCTGCAACCCTAGCTGGGGAAAGACCTGGGTGAAGCACAAGGAGATTTGTATTGGGGAGTCCAACATGGGGTGCTCCCTTGAATGTAAAGAACTCTTACTCAAGCCTCCAAGGGCCTGGCTTCCTGCATCTTAGTTCCACTGCAGGTGGTGACAGGTCCAGGGGAGTGTAGGTGAAGGAGAGGAAAGGGAGGAAGTGGCATAGAAGGAAGGAAAGAAAATTTCAGGGGCATCATCAGGGAATAAGAAGGATGCATAAGATTTGAATTGGTTTCATTTAACTGATGAATTCAAAGGAAGAGAAAGAATCCAACGAAATGAAGGAAGTGAGAGTAAGGAATCAATAGGCAGGGCTCCATGCATATTTGAGCAAAGACTTTAAGAATTACAACTTGGAGTCAGGAGGGTCCTCAAAGGTTCTCTGGTCCAACATCCCATTCTGGGCTCAGACTTCCTCCTCAGCAGCCCTTTAATGTGTCTCTTCAGCCTCTGCACACACTTGCAGAGGAGGGAGCAGCCCTCTTCCCAAGGCCGCCGATTCCATCCAAGGACAGTTGGGGCTGTCAGGTGTCAGGAAAGTTTTTCCTTATCTTATGGTGAAATCTGCTTCCCTCTGGGTTCCTCCCCCAGTCCTAACTGTCCACGGAGGCACCACAGAACACACTGACTCTTTTCCTGCATGGTAGCTCCTCTCTTATCTGAACACAAGGCTCATGGTGTCCCTTGGTATCATGCTTCTCTAAGGTAAGCACTGCCCTGGCAAGGAGGTGGGGGTTATGGCTGTAGTCCAGTTGGGTGGCCGTGTGCCACTTTCTATTCTCCACCAGTATTAATCTTCGTTGGCATGAATAAATGAGAGCTGATAAGATGATTTTTTCATATTTAACGTTCACTCAAGAAATGTCTATTGAGCATCTCTTGGGGATCCAGCCCTGTGCCAGGTGCTTCTGGAAACCCAAAAGACATGATTCTTTATGCTGACAAGCTCAGTCTGGCCAGGTGGACAAAATATATACTCAGGACTAGTAGATGAAAGAGTAAATGAATGAACAAATGCAAGGAAAAGCAGTTCAGAACTATAAAAATCCTCTTGAACAGGATGGTACAAAGTGCCTCATATGCGTGCTTATGGAGGGAATGGTGCAAAGTGCAGAACTCATGTGAAAGGTTTTCTTAGAGGAGGCAAGAATAGAACTTTAAAGAAGGTATAATGATTGGAGTGGGGAAGAGGGAGGAGGTCTTCTAGGTTTAGAAAAGAGGTCTGAATGGGATATGAGGGCTGAAAGGGGGTATGGAGCTTGTGACTTAGCACTGAATTTTTATTTGTATTATTTTATTGAGTTATAACTTACCAACAGTAAAGTGCACAGATTTGTATATGGTTCAGTGAACTTGGATATATGCATGCCCCTTGCAATCTCCACCCAGGTATTTGCAGCTCGCCAATAGTCTCTCTCATAGACCTGAGCTTTAATACTTTTGCCACTTACATTGGATAAATCGGTCTGGTAAATGTGTATTTTTTCATATTGTAAGGTCTTATCAGGGACCACCTTAATTTTTTCATATTAACTTTAATATTGTGCTTAGCTCAGCCCATGTTCCAAAGGACAAGTACCAGGAGTTGATGTTGCATCTCATCAGGGTCTCTCCAGCAGCAAGACACTCTTGCTAAGCCCTATTTTTAGTTCTCACAAAACTGTGCCATGTAGGGAATTGGAATTCCCATTTTAAAGATGACTTATGTGAAGCTCAGAAAGGGTGGATATCTGCATACTGTCACACAGCTAGGTAGGTGTGTGAATAGAATTATATTCTAGCTCTGTTTTCCAAGTCTGTTTTCTCCATCTGCCTAGTGGGTGAAGTCTGACTGCTCAGGCAACCTGACTGGGCTGCTTCTCTGGGTCTGTGGACCCAGGTTTGCATACTATATGCTCAAAGACAGTGGGAATTCGGGGTGAAGTGAGCGCTGGATGCTGTGTACTGGGCTTGCTTTGGTGAAGCAGTAGCTACCCAGAAGATATGTGGACGAGGTTAATGTAAGAGTAGAATGAGTGAAGCCCAGAGGGAGACTCTGCAGGTGCCTTCTTTGTCTTTCGGTGCCAGGATTCCAAAGGCATGGGTGATGTGGCAAGGGAAGGTCTGGGAGGTATGTGGGCCACATTGTGGGAGTCTCTCACCCAGCTGTCTTTGGAAATAAATGGTTTGACCATTTGCCCTGTCTCAGTTTCTGTCCTCTTTTCCCCCATGGGCTACTGAGCTAAAAAAAAAAAAAAAAAAGATTACAGGTGGTGGTGATTTAGAGTCTGGAAGGTGACAGATGGAAAATGTGTGTTTTGTTTTACAATGGGTTTTAAACTTCTTTTCTCTCTCGCTGGTCCCTGTACTCTTTCTTCAGTGCCTCCCTCCAGCGGCTGCGTATCTGGCCTGTGGGTCCAGACGAAGCCCCACACCCTCTCGGTACCTTGCAACAGGCTCTGGAGATTAAGCTGCGCCTCTCGAAGCAGCTCCTCTACACTCGGGGGCCTGCCTGAGGAGAGGAACACGTTCACTGGCTGTCGCCATGACGACCTCGAGTGGGCAGTCGCTGTCGCATTTTCCCGACTCGAGTTAGCTGCAGCTAGGGAAGGAGAGAGTCAGTGAGAGGCGCAGCCCAGGGTGGGCGAGGCGGCCACTGGGCGCCCACGGTGCCCGAAGTCCCGCCCCTGTCGGTGGGAGCGGCGGGGGGGGGGGGGGGGGGCGGGGGGCCGGGCCAAGCTTCCCTTAAAAGCAGGGATAAGGCTGTCGCAACATTTTTTTCTCGAAAGAACGAGGCGCAGGCCACTTCTTTCAGCGCTGGTGGGGGGC